GGCCCGGCTCCTTGCCGCACATCCAGCATTTGCATGCGCTGCGTGATACCTCGTTTCTTCCAAGTGCATTTGGTACTGCATTACTGTTATTATTATTGTTGTTATTGTTATTATTATCATTATTATTATTACTGTTATTATTATTACTACTATTATTATTGTTGTTGTTACTATTATTATTGTTATTATCATCATTATTAGTGCATTTGTGTATGCAGTTCCAGAGATGGAGGAGCTCGAGCGCTTGTCACTGGTCTCGAGGGTGTGCGTGGAATTGGACAATCACTTTGGAGTAGCGGAGAAGGATGTTGCCGAATTTATCATCCATCTTGCGCTGGAGAGTGGCTCGCTTGAGAAGTTCAAGGCGGCGATCGCCAGGGAGGGACTCGATGATCAGGTATGTGCTACTTCTTGGCCTGCTGAAATGATTGATGTTAGTTGCCCGTTCAGTGCAACTTAATTCTTACCCGGTCTTTTTCATGCTGCAGTTTGTCCATGCGCGAGCTTCTCACAACTATTGAGCTCTTATCACTTCAGATCCTTGATAGATCAATCTTTCGCAGCTAAAATAGGCTTTGTACCATGTTTTTCGCTCAGAAAACGCATGATACGCGCCGCGCTTTGTCACTTCAGTGTGTTGTATACATATACGAATATGTATAATATACATGGTCATATAAATATTCATTTATAGATGTACATTTAGTTATATACGACTTTATATATGTACTCATATATGTGCGTATAATAGGTATGCATGTACATGTTGAAGCGTTGTTGAGGCTTTTTGGGATGACTGTGCTTGGAAGATTGGCTTTTGCAGTTCGACACTTCTCTTCTGGCGAATTTGCTGCGCATCATCCAGCACATGCACCCAAAGAAGACGGGCACAACAAGTGATGGTGCTGCGATGAAAACGACCCTACAGGATGACAAGGAATTGCTGCGCAAAACGCTTCCTGTGCTTGCAATGCCGAATCAGAATGCGGATGATCTGATGGCGGAGCTCGAACACTTGCAACCCAAATGGAAACAGGAAAAGGTTACTCGGTTCTTTTGCACTAGCGATTTTTTTTTGCGCTAAATTTGCATGCATTTATTTCGAGCAGCTTCCAAAAAACACATTTTGTAATTGAAATTTAATGACGAAATACATTAAAACAAAGTTTTAAACGCAGAAAGAAAAAATGCCAGGCCTGGTTTTTTGAATATTTTGGAATATTTTATTTGAATTGTGAAATTTACCCTCATCGTGCAAGCCAAATCTGTTTTGGTTCGGAATGTATTTGTATTTTTTTTTGACAAACGAACTTTATGTAGCGGCTAGAGAAACCAGTCGTTTTACTACGACTTTTTGATTCGTTTCGTTATTAGTTCGATTTTGTTGCATGCCAAGAAGTCAGAGTTCCCGTCAGCATGACTTTTGAGCAAACTGAGAAAGAAGCCGTGGGGACTGAAACTGAAGGCAGCATTAACGTTTATATTTCCGAAAAATATTTTGCTCCTCTGGCAGTGAATTGCTGGCTTCATATATTTCTTTTCAGGCTAAGGCAGATAAGAAAGAGAACGGCCGCAGCCGCCATCATTCAACAGGCACCGACAGTAGAAGCGAGAAGCGTCGCGATGTTGACAAAAATAAAAGGACGAAGCATTCGCGAGATCGAAGCACTGACCGAAGAAATGATGCAAAAGACAGAAGGCGCCGACGGAGCAGCGATCGCGTTGAAAAGCGTCCCACCAAGTGAGTTTAGGTTTTCTTCCTGTGGTTTTAAATAGCGCAGCGCAATTTCGCATCTTCTATTTCGGTAGAACTATTCATTATCTCCCAGCTCGTGTCCAGAATAGCTTCTCTCTCCGCTCAGATCCTGCATTTTCCCTAT